TGGGGGTTAACTGAAGGGAACGAAGCAGTGAGAAGATGGAAGAGAGGAGAGAGAGGAGTAGAGAGAGGAGAGAGAAGTTAGACGAGAGAGGAGAAGAGAGGGATGAGAGTTGAGAGAGAGGGGGGAGAGAGAGCGGAGAGGGTGGAGAGGAGGGTACTAAAGAGAGCGATGGGATTACACGAGAGGTCGAGACAGAGAGAACCACCTTCACTAGAGAGAGATCGCGTGAAAAGAACTGAAGACCAACACGCTCACCATTGCCAGCTGTCCAAACGCAACATCTGAATGAACGTAAATTCTCTTGAACCCTCCGTTTCTGCCCGCCCTTTCCGAAAGCCATACTCACGAGTCGCCGAAAAAGATGTGTTTATCAGATCCATTAAGTCATACTCTAATACTCGTGTGAAATATGTGCTGATTGGGCCCAAATCCTTCTTGAACAAAGGTCAAAAAATTTCAAAACATATATGAGAGAGAGCAACAGGCGCTCACTTTGCCCGAACGCAACACTGAGATGACGTAAATTCTCGTTGAACCCGGTCTGCCGCCCGAGAGCCATACTCACGAGGTTCGCCGAAAGAATTGGTTTTCAGAGTCATTAATATTACCGAATTACTCGTGAAAATAGTGAATTTTTTGTGTCTACAACCTTTCTTAATCAAACGTTCAATAATCTTCAAAAGCATTATGAACAATGAAAGGCATGTAATTTTTCACAGTTTAAACACATTGTAGGAACGAATGCAATAACATTTCATTGTCATTTCTTTTGCTGCATATAGTATTTAATGTCGACCAGTGTACGAATAGAGTAGGCATGATGCATCAATAACGTGTCAAAACAATACGAATAGTAATAATTATAATATGCAATAAGGCAAACAAGGAGGTTCATTTATATGCTTCAAATTACTTGAAACATTTGAATTATATTTTATTCAAATTCCACTAGTGTATTTTATGATAAGAATTTGTTTCTCCAATCCACAATCCAAAGTGCTGAACATCTCAATAACTTGGCGAGAATTTCTTCCAATGTTATGATTTATTGTTTCCATTTTTCTAGGTATACATTAATCTTCATGCAATTATTATAGAAATATTGATGAGTAATATAGCTTCAGATACGAGTAAACTACCATTACATGTCATACAAATTCAACGAACATTCATATTTTGCTCTCAAAATTACGAAAAATGATGGTATCTTTGGGTCATGACTTTAACATTATTAAATTATTCATGTATATTATATAGGTATTTTGAAACCAGATAACAAAGTATTACAAAGGAGAAATGACTAAAATTTCGGATTTATTTTTCAGATTTTGTGTAACTTCTTGCCCATAGTCAGGTACAACGAAGAACAAACATGTAAAAAATCACATAATAACAAAAAATCATATAACAATAACTTGTCTTAAATATCAATCCTAGTGACACTGTGTTTCAATTAACTTACATACTCACGTTTTAGAAGTTTACAATATTAACTCTAAAACATCCTTCATATTTCGTGAAACCAAATGTGCACTCAAGGACGATGATATTTTTCATTGCTTCTTATCAATTTATTCTCCTTTAAATGACAAAGCTATCAGTTTTGAGAAAGCTATAATTTGTTCAGTTTTGTATTCAATACTTTACCTGCCAAAGACTGTCTTAAATTTTAGTAAACAATGCAACAATATCAAGATACTCAGTTTTACGTAATCATATTTTATGATTGGGTGGAAAAGTTCCCTAAGGATTGTATTCTAAAATGATATCGTTCAAATGGTTCACGTAGCGGAGCTATTAAGTGGAAAACTACTCTTTAATTGATTCATATTATTTCATTCCGAACTCAATTTTCTGATGTTAATAAAAGTTGAAAAGTATTACAAACGTTTTACATAGAAAGGTAAAAGCCTTATTTTAGAAGATGAATTTTAAATAAAATACTCTTTTGACTTTTGTAAAGATGATAATAAACTTTCACGCCTTAAAAATATGTATGAATGAATTTGACGAATATTTTTCATAATAATATTTGACTAACCTTGAAAACTGCCTCAATTTACGGCCTTGAAAATGTATGTAAAGCATTCTAGTAATTGGGTTTTTCTTCAGTAGCTAATAACAGCTGATTCACTTCCATTCAAAGTTTACTGATTTGTCGACCCATAGGTATTCTTTCATTTTTAAGGCATAAAGCCATTAAGAATATTCAAAAGGTTTTTCTTCTTGTCTTCAGATTTTTTTAAAAAATTAAACAGTTTTATTTAAAATAGCGATATTTAGATGTCATTTAGGCAGATTGTCAAGACCAAAACTGAATTATTTCTATTATTTTCGAAGAGACGTATCTTGACAATGGAAAAAAGAATTACGGTTTTTAGAGAACTAATCAACAAAACCCCATAGGAACTTGGTGACCATTTTCCATAAAAATAGCTACAAAGGGAGAAATTGGCTTATGTTTGAGAAATTCATATAACTTAGTTAATCAAATTTAGTTCCATGTTGCAAAAATATTTCCACCAGGAGTTTGTTACTAAGTTTAAACATACTTTATCTCATACGATAACCTTTATTGCTGTTTACCAACGTGTTCAGAGTATATTACATAGATCATTGTTATAATATCAATCCGATATAATAAAGTTTCCTTCAATATGGCTTTTATTGTATGATGGTGAAATGGATTTTATTGTATCTGATATGTATGAATATTATGGTAGCTGCCCAAATCAATTTAATATCATTAATCATACAGGAATATATACAATGAAAATATCATGATGCGAAAATGTTAAATAAGGCTATCGGATAAGATAAAACTTTATTCCGTGTGACTAAAGAGCCATTAAGTGCTCCTTACAAATTTTAGATGCACTCTTGCTACCGCGCTCATGAATAATCAGCTAACTTGCAGGTAGTGATATCTTTTAGCCACTTTTAAGATAAATAACCATTGTTCCCATTTTTACTAATTTTATTTTGTTTATTATATTTTATATTTGTGAACGCCACAGAAATTGTTCATTGCATTATTAATTAAAGAAAATACAAATGAATTTTAGTTAGAACTTTTACCAGATATTAACTCATTATGAACGATTATTTAATTAGATAATAGCACCTAATATTAAACGTAGTATTAATTTGTCAATTAATACAAAAAGCGGAGGATTACTTTACATATTTATTAATTTAACTTACAATGCAGTGGAATTGAGGGAAAAGTTTGAATTATTGATTTTTTCTTCTTAAAGAGGGTAAAGTAATTAGTACTCATGTTTACAAGAAAAGAACAAATTAACAAACTTTGAGATAACGAAGAATTCGAGTTTTTGAGATTCGAGTAATCTAGACTCCTCTGCATTTGTAACTAAATAACCTAAGTAACATGTTCAGCCTTATTATTGACATAATTGTTTTAAATACATACAGATCAAAATAAATAAAAACGAAGAGTTTATTCCATTGATATTTTAATGATTATCTCTTAAAATGCTCTCATTTCATTTTATTTCTGCATTCTAGATGTTACCTACCTCTCCTGACATTCAATCGAAATTTAAGGACTGCTTAATCAGGACGATTGGGGTCGGTACCTTCGTGTATGAAAATAATTTATTCAGCCCAACATTAAAATGAAGGCAACCTTGGTAAAAGGTACAGAAACTACACGAACGCCGTGAAATCATTTCCACTCCACTAATCAATCATTAACTAAGCAAAGGTAGAGGAAACGATTACACTTGTGTCCCCCGCTTCCACTCGCATGCGACTGCTAAAAGAAGTTGAAGGCAGGTTTTTCCAACGCCTGACAATGCCACGCATGAAATTCGTTAATTGTGGTGTGGAGAAATATGCACAAATAACCTATTTTTCGTATATAAGCATTATAAACGACCTTTCTATTGTAAGAAAGGAAGTTTTACGTCGCAAATGATGACGTATTAGCATTTTCCGGCACGAGTGATTGCGTCATCACACATCCAGCCAATCGCAGCGTGTGAGAGAATCGTGGGGAGGTAGAGCTAAATGTAACAGCCCAGCACCGCTTTCTCGCACCATGTCAAATAACCGAGGCGTCTCAAGAAAGTTGTTTCACAAAATTAAGTTTGATTCTCTTAAAAACTAATAACGCTGTTATACAAAAACGTAGTGTATGCAACTCGATTATAATGTTGCTTTATTACATTCGTACAAAATTGAAAAAGCCTTGCTCCTTAAGTCGCTCGTTTTCAAAACATGTACTCATGCAATAACATTATGTACTAATTGCATGAACTTCTGTAACAAGAGGAGAATATTTTTGTCTTTTTTAGGTTATTAAAACAATAAACGTATCAAAATTCAGACATTTATTAATCAATTCCATTCACTCTATCACATAGCAGGTTCAGTATGTCTCTTTTTAAAAACATTCTTTCTCTGTCAGCTAACTTTTTAAGATGAGGCACTAAAGATAGTACAACAAGTTCATCGTCAATTCTTATTTTCTTTCTCTCTTTCATGACATCAGGTTTTTCTTTTTCGATTTGAAGTATTTTGTCTTGAAATGCACCACTTTCAGGCAGCACATTGGTTGACGGCGTAGCTTGTTGAGCCACATCCGGATCTCAATGTGTGTTTTGTGATTTCTTTCAGGAACATTTCGGACCTTTCTGCGTGGGATCGTCAGATCGTGCAGACAAGTTCTTCTGAAATTCCGCTGCGAACTGGTCTCGAAGATATTTCCACTTTGTTCTCAGTCGAAATTCTAAAACAAACAAGTAACATTATATACCATCAGTTTCTCGGGTCAATCAGAAATTCTAATCAAATAGTTTTGATTTCAATAAACATACAAAAACTGTATAATTAAATTTAATAATGTGTATGTCGCTACCGGCGGTGCTTTCGCCGCATTCAAAGGTCCATCTTGAATCTCAGCTTGGGTGCAAGTTCTGTGGGAAAATCAGAAATCGCAGAATCAACGGGAGGAGTTGCCACCAGGGAGCCAGATCGAGATCGAAATAAAGGAATTGTTTGAGTCAATTTCTGATGATTGGGTTTGGCGATTCTTGGATTACCATTTAGCTGCATGGAATGGCAGATGAAAAATGTTTTATTTACAATAGTATACATTGATGTCTAGCGGAAGCATGGCCAGGAGATAATTTCCAGGCGTCAGGTTTATATGAATCGTTATTAGGCTGTGCAAAAGAATTAGGATCAACATTAAGGTTCGGTGAAGAATGATTTAAAAGAAGATTGACAAGAGCTAGTAAAAGTATTGAATGCGCTTTTATAATATTACACTCCAAATTAATATTATCCAAACATACAGAGAGCGATCGTTGCCTGCGCAACGCGTTACGCCGTGCCAGAGCTCTCAGTCCATCTGTCGCCACAGGTTCAAATTGCCTCAGAGGACTTTTTAGGGAGACAACAACTTTTCTTTGTACTGCGGGTACGGAAAGACGAAAAGGTCCAAGACAAGATTGAATAATTCAAAAACGTAATTACTATCAAGTGATGGGATCCTGTAAAGACTCTACAACAGAACCACTCTGAGGCTACGACAAGACGAAAGGGTAGAATATGCACGTATTTGGTATGGTACTCGTAGGGCCGGATGAACCCTCCTCATGCCAGCTGGCGCTGTCCCCTGGCCAGACTCTTTATCAGCCGCGCCTGAGGACAGGGCCAGCATTACGCTTTTTCTTTCGTCATACAGCAAAAGAATCTGAGGCGATTTTTATCAGAAAGCTACAGCTTCGGTTTGCCTCGCGGGAATGGAATCCGGGACCACCTAACAGAGAGCTAGCACGCTGCCCATGAGACACCCGAGGGATTGATAGGTAAAATAAATGCTTGAATAACTCAAACACAATATTGTTATAATTGGCATGCGCCGTCAAAAAAAGACGGCTTTTTACAATACGTTCCCAACAATCGTTTAATTTGCATTGCCATTTGAGGTGAACAACATTTTTCAGTCAGTTTTTGGGCAGTTGAAGGAGGGACCACCTTTTTGTTTTCGATGTTTTGAACTGTTTCCGGCCGATTTAGAACTATAGATGCATTGTCAAGAGTTTCTCCGGGGATATCGAAGCTGAATTTCAGGGATAGATTCCAACGATTCTTCGCGTTTCTTGCAAGAGGCAGCACGTAGGGCTTCAGCCCATCTCGGAAGCCAATGATTAGCACCCGGGTAATATGTAATAAAAATTGGAAAAATATGTTAATATATATAATATGTACTTATGTACATATATGCATTACAATACACAGAAATAAATAGTAAAAGAGAAACATGTAATACATTAATTTTCATTATGACAATTAATTTTTTTAAAATATTTTATCTTATATATTTTCTGGATTCTGAATATAAAGGCCAAAATTAAACATCATACTTCTCCTTAACCTATTATTTACAACGATTTCTATAACAATAAGAAACATATTTGTTTCAAAAAAGGTCTGTAATTTTCGTGGATTAAATTGACCGCGAATAAGAATATAAATTTTATTAGTTGAAATTCAGTGTGGACATAAGAAGAGCTCCAGATGGACTTGGAACAGTCGCTGGCGTCATTAACGACGTCAAGACTGCTGTATATTCTGCAAAAGGGACGTTTAGGTAATAAGTGACAGATTTTAATAAAAGGATTTTAAAAAGGCCAAGTCATGTTTAAATATTAAGTTAACATTAAGAATAACAAAGAATTATTATATGTGATTTGTTGCTAGGAACTTGATGGCCATGAATAGAAACAATAGAAAAAATATACATTGTTGAACAAAATTAATGAAGAAGGAAGTCTGAATGAATAAATCGTGTCAGCCGACACCTTATGTCCCTGGAGAATCATAAGCAAAATTTGCAGATTGTTTAATTTATTAGTAACAAATATTCCCTAACAATAATAAAATTATTTTGATTCACTTTAAAAGTATATATAATTATTTATTATTTTGATAATATAATTAATTATTTAACTTATAATTAATATTTATTAATTATAAGTGAATCAAAATAATTTCTACTTGTAATATTTTCTCTCTCGCTCTTTGTAATTAATGGTGTGGTAGCTCTGCTTTTAATATATATATTGTGACGTTCCTGGGAAGCGGTACTTTCACGACAATAAAATTATGTAAGGAACAGGTACCTTCTCGTGAATGGGTCTCTAGGAATTTGGCGCAACATGTGAATAGAATTGTTATAAACTCTTTTATACTTCTAAACGTTTTAATAACCAAAGAATACACTTCACAAATAATATTTACAAACAGTAATGCTTAGGTCT